TTGGGCCTCGTTATATGTATGACCGTTTTATCGAAGTATCGCATATTATTTTGGGAACTGTTCAATCGGGCCCTGAAATTTCGGAATTTTTTTTTTGATCATTTTTTGCCTCCTTCACGTCATAGGCATCAACCGATCGATTTGTAGATCCTTACGTGCGATGATACCCGCGGAGATTTATGGCTGCTCGTGAAATTAATCCAGCTCCAGGTCCGGGTTGATCGGTCGGGGCCGGATAGCATATACTCCACAACGTATCCTAATACCCATAAATGAACTATACATTTTCCTACTATCAGGTAGCACAAGCTTTAAATATTACGGAAATTACTAAGAACCGTGACAAAAAAAAAGTCATTTACTTTCCATTCACCCTTTTTCTTCTTTTCACATGCATAAACATGAGCCTGACGTATGCTGATGCCCAAAAGATATTTTGTACGCGCTACGTTCGGTACTTCGATTTTCTACCGGGGACCCAAAAAACAATCCGGTCCCATTGTCTACGGTCTTAATTAACGCCCGGGACCCGCGCGAGGGCCTTATCTCGCCAGCTTCCGCTCTATCATGAGAATTATTTCCGCGCATGTATGTAAATCACGTGAAATGAACAATTGGGCCTTATCTAATTTCTCGGACCTTTTACGTAACGTCATCACGTCGTAACGTAAGGCTAACGCAAGGCTCCGCCAATTGGAACGGATTTCTATGTACGATCGTTTTTGGGCCTTACGCGTTTACACAGTCAGGAACAGCTGGATGGGTTAAATGTGCTCAACAACACATTTACCAGTTTCTCAGGATCAATTGACCGTGTCCAAATCGTCTAATGGATCGCTCTGATGTCTGCCTATCAAAAGTTGCTTGAACTCCGTATATTTATTAATTACTACTGGCGGTCGGGCCGCCAGTCACAGTTGACACGGACTACATCGCAGTGTATTTCAGTGTCGGCCGATCGATTCGCTGTAAAATCACTAGTATCGCCGAATAAACATTTATGCGAATAGAAATGATTAATCGATCCTCTCAGCTGTATTGCCCGAGTGTTTGCGTAGCGTGGGAAGAGCGAATAGCCAGGGCCGTATTGAAGGGGTTGTTTACGTTGAAGAGTTGGGCGAAATAGGAAGGGGTGGTCTAGACAAGGGATGATCTGGCACAAGGGGTACTTAACACACATACTTCAGAGGCGATCGATAATTTTATCCAATATCATTGTGAATTCGATTTCGATTTTTATCATTTTTTTTTTTATACAAAATTTTAGACTAAATTGTATTTTGAAAGAAATTTTTGGTATTGGGTATAGCAGGAGTCTGCGAGTGAAATTGAAATTCTACAGGGTCTAACTCTATGACCGTATTTTTTTTTGCATCATTTTAAACGTGAACCGCGGAATTAATCTTGGTTCGAAATAAAAAAAAAAAAGGAAAACGTGACTATCTCCCGTGTCATTTCGCGGAATTCGCAAAGTCTCTCCTGTGCCATTTCGCAAACACCTTCAAACTGGTACTCTCCGTGTATACATTAATACATACATATATATATATATATTTCCTCACACTGCAAGTCTGACCACTGCAAGGACTGTTTCTCTTTTTCCGTCTCGCAGACGTACGGTAACGCTCTGTAATTGGCAACTTTGAATCCCCGGTATTCTAATGTCCACCGGCAAGTTTCTTGCGACGCTACACGTCGTGCTACGACGGCTTAGGTCGCGCTTAGGACTCGCGTCGATATCACCACTAAAATCATTCGTAGTTTCACGATCGAGTTGAATATAATTTGAAAATGTGCAGAGAATTTGGAATACTGAAATATTTTTAATATCCGTTTCAAAATTCTTGCGAGTTCTAAGCGCGACTTTATAGCGCGATTCGTGTCGCTTGGCTATGTTAATTTCACTCCTTTTCGGTACGGATGATGGTAACCTATAACAATCTATACACATATATATACATACATATATGTATTAATTACGCAATATAAAGAATGGCAAATTAAATTTTGAGTGAAAAAAAAATTAGATTTACTCTTGGCTTTTTTATGTATATAAGACATACGGTATATACAGCCGTAAGAAATTGTTTAGAAAGTTGTTTGAAATGTCCGAGAAGTCGAGTCCATCCCTAGCGAAACTCTCTCCTGGCACGAAGTGCGTATCCATCTACCACGGTCTATGGCTACTTTTCCTACGTAACACTCATTTAGAATAATTTGACTAATTTTGATTTTTTTTTTCTTTCTTCTTTCATTGTACCACAGCAGCCATTGACTTTGCTATTGTCTTTTTCTCTTTCCTCATGTAGTTTTTACGGTTACTTCCCTGTTTGTTACTGTTGTCTTTTCGATTAAAGATACCGCATACACGTGCCAGCTTGGATGGCCCACTTCTTAAACACCCTGTATAACGAGGATGTCGATAAGTACTGAAAAGAGAGTCATGAGCTGCTCGTTACCAATGCCCACACTCTGATTAGCCGCCGTGCCGACTCATCGGGACCACCTGATCATGAAGGAACCCGACATAGACTCTACTGTACGACCGACTTATTAATCGAAAGTCATTCGCGGTTGGATTAATGAATCGTTAAAAGAAACGAGATCCGGAGCTACGATGAGATAAGACATACTAGAGATATTTAAATAAGAAAATACACAGTACGCAGTACAACAATGATGTGGGATTGGTAGAAAAAAATTGTATGAAACTTTTTTTTTTTTTAATAATTTTTTGGCTAAATTCGTCAATTTTATACATTTCAATTAAACACACTAATTGTATTACTAAAAATTGGCACCGGTGCGTAATCATAAGTTTCATTGGGAAGCTTCATATGCGTCTTTTTCACTTGCTCCAACGTTTCGTTATGCGAGTATCATTGGACACCCGGTACACGTCGATCGGATGACGTTATTAGATTCATTGTTTGTACACGATACAATGCCACATTACGAAGGTAGTTAGCGGATGCCCCTTAAGGCGGTTCCTATGGTCTTGCTATAGGTAGCGACAACAGCAATAGCAGCAACCAGATTAGACAAACGAACTAGCGTCTAACGTTAAACCCGTGCGGCATTGTGGGAGAGGGACTCCTGCCCTTTAACTCTGACGTTACAGCCGCTCTCGTGATTAACAACTGGCTTCTCGGAGCATATCTTTCGAGGCTTTCGAGTGTAATCGATTAATTTACGATATCGTACGCGAGCCTGTGTCCGTCGGGGCTATTGTTTGCTGTTAATTACACCGATACATCTAATCGCTCGGTCGAAATCAACCTGTTATGCTTGGCCGATCTCGTGCGACCGCCTGCGGATAAGAATATCGGTACTAGATATTGTCCCCATTTGAATAAATTTTTTTTTTTTTTTTTTTTTCCTTATGTAAGATTAGGCGGGGAGATTTTTTTTTTTCATTTATATCATTGATTGAGAATTGGAAATTTTTTAAAGCAAGTCCCACGTCAACGATGGGGTCGCGGGTTCACTTTGAAATCGCTGGCTGCCCGTGTAGGAGGATCGGGCTGCAGTTGACTAATTGGACGAACTGTCTAATTCCGAGGTGTCTTATGTTAATTATCCTCTACGAGGCGGGGCCTTACTATATATATATCGAGGTAGATGAATCGATTACTTAACACTTGTCACGCCTCGCTAATTAACATTCAGTCATCTCACAGTGGTATAGGTACCCCTTACCGATTGCATCCTTGGTAAGGCCCATGAGCTAGTCGTTTAATATTTATTGTCTATAGCTCGGCCCCATTGCCACCTCGGGCCCTGGGCCCCTCTTGTCGATTAGAATTCGAGGTGGGTCCCTGGGAATTCACGGAAAATATTAGAATACCTCGACGTACTGATCACTGTTGACAGATAGCCGTTGGGACCGTCGACGCGTTAACGTATGCTCGATGCCAGGGTCCTGATGACGTCCTTGTCGACCGAGGAGTCTCGCTCGTGATGGGGCCCCATAAGTCCCCTATGCGGAATACCAGATGCCGAGGACCTTTTCTCTTCATCTGTCTTTAGTTTGTTTCAACCTCTCTCTCTCTCTCTTTTATTTCTTCATTTTTACTCTTCCCGGCGAAACTCCATCTAATCGAATCCTACCATCTTCTGCCGGGACAAACGAGCCTTCTTATTTTTGTACGACATTCGTCGCTCGGGCTCCTGAGGCGAATGGAAATCGAGAAATTTTTTTAATATTGTTTTTTTTTGTGTGAAAGGAACAAATTCACTTTTCTCGAAAAAGATACGAAACGTCGGTGCGTATCTGTTTTTCGTTTCTTCGACCGAGACCGGGCAGGTTTTACATGAAGATTTCAATGTCGTTACGATTTGGGTCCGTTGGGGCCCTATCATCACGACGGTAGTATTACGAGCCTAATGCAATTCCTACAGTGCATACCCTATACCTGCTTATACCAAAGTGAACGAATGGTATAAAATTGGCCGGCGCCGACGCCCTTTGCCAGCAAATAAGTCAGGATGGACGCACGTGCTGTTGCTTCATAGACGCAATTCGGGCTGTCCGCATCGCTTCGACAGTGTGGATCGCCCTGCGGTGATCACGCTGGCGATGAATCGACCGATTCACAATCGGGCGACGATACCGATGTAGCGAATTAGTTTTTGTCGCTGTTAAATTTACCAGCGATCTGACGCTACTGCAGTCCTGTTGTTGCACCTTCGACTATGCACTTGCATTCTTGAGCATTTCTTTCGGCGCCTGGTTACGTACGCAGCTGCACGTGTCGTCTAAAGAGCCGATTAGCAGGCCGCACCGTTCTTCGGAACTTTAATGCTATTCACGACGTCCATTGCTCTTCTGACAGCCTCGGCGTCCCGACGTCCGTCGATAAATTTTGAAACTGCAATTTTTTCGCATTCGATTCCACCCCTCCCCGTCCCCAATCTCTCATCGCCCGGACTAGCTATAATAAGGGAAGCTGCAAGACGCGAACACAGTGTACGTTAACCGTACGTGATTTTTGTTGCAGATGCGTGCGAGTCACTTGTGGATCGACCTTACGGTGAGTCAGTCAATTATGAATCTACCTGTATATAAAATACGTTAAAATCTCCATATCCCGGTGAATGAAACTATTTTTCAAGATCGCTTTTAATAGCCGCGTAGAAATAGAGAAAAGCCTCGTACAAAACTCGTCCATCTCAATTGAGATTGACGTAGGAGTCCGGGGGCCTTGCGGGGCCCCTTACAAAAAGTCCCATAGCATCCGGCTTTCTATGCTGTGCGAGGCCCTGGCGGGGCTCGTAAAATTCAGCGTTATGTGATTCGGCCCTGATGTTTTGTCCACGAGATTATGATTACTCCTTGGAACAGCCGTGGCTAAATATCAAGAGACAGTACATACATATATACATATAGGGAGTGAATAAAGTGAGGTGAAAAAAGAAATGAACAAAAGCAAAAGGACCCAAGAAAACGAAGGGCTCGGAGCAAAAAAAAGACAGACAAGAAACAACATGGAAATACGGTCGTTATCGTACATTCTAAGGTACTCGTTAAAAAAAAGTAAGATAGACTTATTACGTAAGGGTGGCTTTTCACTCGCGCTGCCGTGACGGGACGCGTCGCTTTGGAATTTCGAAATTCAAGGGTCCCGAGAATCAACAGGTCGGTTATGAGAGTGTAAAGCGTTTTGAATTCACCCTCCACGAGGGGTAGCACGAATACTTGGCGCGAATCTCGTTGTAAGGGGGTGGCT